TTTGCTCGAATCGATTCGCCTCACTTTACTTCGTCTTGTCACTTTCAGCTTTTCCCAAAAAGATGATTGCTTTTCAAAGTTCACACTTTCTTGCTCTTATCCGGTGGAAAACTGTTCCCGCAAACACAGTTAAGTGCTTTGTCGTGTGAACATTTTTAATGATATTTTTCGATTTCAAGGAAAGCGTTATATGCTTGCTGGTAGGACTGACACAGTGGCAAGTAGCAGTATCTTTGGACTGTTGTTTTTGGTTCAGTAATGGGCCGTTCCCGAAGATGCTTTCCTGCTAAAAAGACTTTCACGTGCCCCTACGTGAGACATGAGCGTTCATTTTGAGAATACTAGCCCGCACTTATGTGTAGATTAAGGCACCAAATTTTCAGACTTGTAGCTTTTGTGAATCCCGAGATGAATACTCATTACAGACGCACACACACACACACACACACCACACACACACCCACACACACACACACACAAACACAGACAATCCCTCGGTAGTATGCGTTTTTGCATTGCATGGCTGCAAAAAACGCGTGAAAACGGATGCAAACTTGCAACTGGATAAAAATTGACGAGATTTTTTCGCTATATCAATCTTTATCGGAAATTAAAAACATTATCGAGTAAAAGTAACCGCATGCTGGATTCGAATAAACAAATAGCCAGTGTCTCGCAAAATGTGATTGCTGACAACAGTTTTGCTGCTCTCAATTACGCCTACAGCGGTGGATATAAGTTTCCCTTGTTTTGACCAGGCATGCGTCAAAAAGCTCGAACATAATGGTTTTTGACGTGCTCGTCAAATGTTCTAGACAGGGATAAAGAACTACATGTACAGACAGGATGCCCTTAATGGACTTCATAAAACTAAATCTTACTAAAAGTGAGAAAGAAAAAATAACAACAACAATAACCGAATCTGTCGGAAAACACCGTCGCCAGGCCTAATCAGGTCCTAATTAGCCTTATACTATTGCAAGTCTTAATTAGCTTTATCAAGTTTTAACTTGTCATACCACTTCCCTGTGCCACTGCGCTGTTACCTTGAACAAAAAAAAATTATGTGGCATGGAGAAGAAACGATATCAGCCAAACATCTGCCGCACCTCTTATCATCCGCTAAATCATGATTCTACTGCTTCCTCTCCTTGCACCCTTCCTCTATTGCTTACCATCACTATAATAAAAAAATGCCTGCAGAGAGGGCGCTCTATCGGAATAGAATCCAGAAGTATACAGAGCTTTTTTTTAATGTATAGAGTCTTACTTCTGCTTACTCACCACTGCTGTCTTAAAGTGCTCTTGTATAAGTAAAAGAGCATTGCTTCAAGCCCGCGTTGCCTTATCAACCGTAAATGATACGTCGTAGCCCAAGACCCGAAGCGAATTGAGAAAACATGTATACAGAGCCTCATCCTTCTCTTTTTATCCCAGGACAAAGCTCAGTATAAATGATTTTTCGATTTGAAAATAAAAAATTTTAGATTTTAGAAATGCTGGGTGAGTAGTAATTGTGAAATAAGCACTTTATTGGCAAAGCCAAATCAGTATGTTAATGTGTCAATAATTCATGGTCAGGGTATATACAGATGGAGCGGATACTTTTCAAGCGTACGAAATGACCACAAGGAAAGGGACACAAAATAGCCGCAGGGTACAATGAATTACTCGAAGCAAATTAATCGCAATTACATGGCTAAGTCCATTTTTCAAAGTACAGCCTGTTTTATTGTAAGAGGCAGATTTTGGAGGGCGAGTAGGCGCAGATCAGTAAGCACGTGTGCATCAGTATTAGATCAGTGTATGAGTGTATCAGTATCAGGTCAATTCATATCAAAATCATTCATCTCGCGTGCCTTCTTGAGCTTCAGCTTTCCAGGGCTTGAGCTTCTTGAGCTATTCGCATCTTTGCTC